CCCCCGCGCAAGGAGCGGGGTCGGGCGGTGGGCCAGCCGTTCCAGCCAGGCTCTGGAGGAACTGGGTGCGAGGGGGGGGCAGAAGGGAAGGGGCTTGGATTAAAGTTAGGGAGCCTGGTCAGTGGCCAACCCTGTTCACCGTGCTGCCCAAGAGTGGTTCTTGTTCTGCCCTGGCCCAGCTGATGCCCCCCTCCCCCCAGTTGCTCCAATGCTAAGAGCCGGATATGCCGACTCAGGGACTTTCCCCACGGGCTGCACAGGGGCTGGTAGGGAGCCTGTGGAGACACAAACTGGGTGTTCGACAGCCTGGGCCAGTGGCGCTGCCTGGCATCTCCAGGAGCCTGTTGGGCCAGGGGCTTCCAGTCCCAAACTGGACACCTGCCTCCCTCATCCCTCCCCCTCTCGCCCTGCCCCCATCCCCTCATAGCTCCCCTCTCCCACCCCTCATAACTTCTCCCCCTCAGCTAGGGAGACCCTGGCTCACTCCCCCACCATGCAGGCACATGAGTGGACGAGGATCTCACACCCCAGGGATTCATGAGCCCATCTAGCACTGTGACATGGCTCCCCATGACGGTCAGTGTGCAGTATGCATTGCACAACTGCTCACCATAGACATGTAGGCCTGGGTGACCCTGCCCAACTTGGTGGCAGCTCATGCCTAGTCCCCAGACCTCCTGGGCACTGGCACATGTCAGACCAACAGCCAGCTGGCTCCCCAGAGTATGTGTGTGATTAAAACAAGCATTGGACTGGGAGAGATGGGGGTAGAACCTGGACTCTGGGAAATGCTGGGGGGTTGCTGCAGGTGCTGATGCCCTGGAACTGGCTGTGCCTGTGGCGCTGGGTGATGGTTCAGTGTTGCATAGGGGCTGATCGAGGGTTTATTGTGACACCAGGAGCAGCCCAAGGCCAAGAAAGGAGCAGAGACAAGTGTGAGACCCTGGTGTGTGTGTTGGGGGGGAGGCAGGGGCATCTCCTGCTTAGCACAGGGAGCTTGAGACACCAGACAAGCAACCGGGGAGCATTGTGGGCAAAAGACTCTGTTGGCTGCTCCCCTCCTCCTTGTGCCCTTGAAGAGGAGCCAGGCCCCAAACATTCCTCTTAGCAGTGTGAGCTCTGGGGGAAGGAAGGAGAAGCCAGGGCAGAAAGAACTTTCTCTCTCCCAGGCTTAGATGCTGGGGGTGAGGCAGGGAGGAGGGAAGAAGGGGGATGCACAGAGCTGGGTCACCAGAGGCGCCTCTGTTCCCTTGGGCCAGGCAGGAGCGCACCGTGTGTCCGGCTGCTGTGTTTGCCCTGCGAGTAACTCACATTCCCTTCTCTGGGCCAGTAATGATGGCACCATTCGTGATGGTGCCATAGGACTGGCTGCAGGCGCTGGGTTTGCTTTCAGCCAGGAGGTGCCATGGGGAGGGAGCTGGTGTCTGTCACTCAGGCTGTTCTCCTGGGGCGGGGTGGGGGGAGGGTTACCTTGAATTGGTTCCATCTGTGTAGAATAAATGTCATTCTGTGCACCAAGGCAGGTGCAGATGTGCACCACCCATAGAAACACAGGCTCTGCTAATCAGCTGGGCAGCACCTGAATCTCTCCTGAGTGGCTGTCCAAGTGCTCAGCTTACAGGGAACAGTGGTGGGGAGCCCATGAGCACCCCCACCCTATGCAGGTGGAGAATCTGAGTATCCCTACAACTGCCTCTGAAGTTCTTACCCATTTACGTCACAGTAAGAACTGTCTGGAGGATCTATGCACCCTCCATCTGCCCTGGGCAGAGGCTGCTATGGCCAGCCCATCAGCCAAGGGCAGCTTTGGATCCCCTCCTCCCAGGGGGATGGTCCTGCATTGGCCCCAGCTGTGTTGGCACCCCAAGGATTCTCCTCTCTGGGCAGGGTGGGGGAAGAGCCCAGAGGAATGGGGGAGAAAGAGATGAGGCCAGACCTGTCCACCATAGGGGCCCTTGGCCTCGTGTTTTGGGGCCCCCAAGGGGGATGGGCAAAGGCAGAGGTCACTCATTGTGACAGGCATATCCTGTATCCATGGGAACATTGCACTGCTGCCCTAGGGGCTGGTGACAGGTGTGGGGGAGGGGCAGAGCGGGTCAGCAGCACATGGTGCTGGGAATAGGAAAGTCTCAGCCGCCAGGACCACCCAGCCCTGGAGGAAAAGCAGGAGAGAGGTAGGAGGGGGAACTGACAGCCCCCTCCCCCCATCCCAGCCTGTACCCCATGGCCAGTCAGACGGGAGAGGGGCCGCACTGGGGTGGGAATGTCCCAGCGCACTGCCCAGGGGCTGAGGGCCGGGAACAGGAGAAGCAGCAAAGGGGGGGGGGTCTCAGCCGCCAGGACCACCCAGCCCTGGAGGAAAAGCAGGAGAGAGGTAGGAGGGGGAACTGACAGCCCCCTCCCCCCATCCCAGCCTGTACCCCATGGCCAGTCAGACGGGAGAGGGGCCGCACTGGGGTGGGAATGTCCCAGCGCACTGCCCAGGGGCTGAGGGCCGGGAACAGGAGAAGCAGCAAAGGGGGGGGGGCAGGAGTGATACC